CTCGTGGGGCTTTCCCTGCTGTGGGGATGCAGCCGCGACAGGCACTCAGTAGGCCTCCAACAGCTCCAAATCAGTTGCGACTGCAGTTACAACAGCGTCTACAAGGGCAACAGCAGGTGAGTCCAGTCTCAGCTTGTCTGGTTATTGCCCATTGTGTCCTGGCCAAGCTGAAGTAATTGCCTATCTCTTGATAGCCCTCTCTCTCCTTTTCCATCTGTCAAAGAATACATTCATTTATTGATAAGCTTGTGGCTGCTCAGGAAATGCTTGAACACCAATTTGGGCAAGTTTCTTACATACAGCAGTCCCTTCCTTGTATTGGCATAGATCTATTCCTAAAAATTTTAGGACACTTTTCCTTTCGGTCCTGGCCTTTCTTTTAGCATGTAAGCAACTAACCAACTCTTCTATCATTTATTCCTATATCTGGCATCTTTAAATCTGGTATCTCCATTTTTTTTAAAAAAAATGTAATTTTCATTGAATACGTTTTTAACAAGACAAAGCAGTACAAATATTAGAAAAGAAATAAAATATGGAAGAATAGTGAATAAGCATGAAAGAAAATAGAAAAAGAAAAGATTATAAAGAAGCGGCTTCCGATCTTTTTGACGGCAGTTTTAAATGCATTTATATTTTACTCTCCCCTTCTAAGGTGACATAATTTTATCCTTTCTAAAGACCTGGTATCTTTTAGATACTGGAGTGGAATACCAGAATGGATATCTCTTTCTTCTTCTCTCTGCAGTCTTTCTTCTCACCACTATACATGCTCTGAAGATCGGAAAATAAAATCTATGGCTATTAGACATTGCTGCCCAACAACTCTCTGATATCTAAGTTAGTGTGGGCAATAGAATGAAATGCTGGATGCTTTGGATCAATAATAGCCAAAAAGCTATAAGGCCCCCAGTCTTGAACAATGCAAACAGTCAGCTGACCTTGATTTATGTTGCAAGTTTTGTTGACTTAAAGAAATGGTTGAGGTATGCAATGCAGTTTGTAGAGAGACCAAATCTCCTTTGTTTCTTTGTCTCTAGATGATTCACCAAAATCGGCAGGCTATTCTAAACCAGTTTGCAGGGAATTCTCCAGGTGGTATCGGCATAAGGGCAGGCATGCAGCAGCAGATGACACCTCAGGTAAATGGTGGGAGTCTTTTATCCAGGTTGTGTATCTTAGCACTTGGTGCTGAAAATCATATATAACCACAATATCTATTCTCTACGAATTTACTTAATACTGCCATCCACAATAAAAATCTTTATGTTGTTCTATGGAGGAAAACAGTACTGTTTTATTTTATCTATGCACTCTGGAGAGAGAGAGAGAGAGAGAGAGAGAGAGAGAGAGAGAGAGAGAGAGAGAGAGAGAGAGAGAGAGAGAGAGAGATGTGTGAGAGAGAGAGATGTGAGAGAGATGTGAGAGATGTGAGAGAGAGAGAGATGTGAGAGAGAGAGAGATGTGAGAGAGAGAGATGTGAGAGAGAGATGTGAGAGAGAGAGAGAGAGATGTGAGAGAGAGAGATGTGGTTGTCAGACCACAACTGACCCCAAAATATATATATATATTTATTTTGGGGTCAGTTGTGGTCATAAGTGGAGGACTACCTGTACTCTCTTGTCCCCAGTCAACATAGCTGTTGTGGACATAGATGGAGAGCACCTGGCTAGATCACAAACATAGATTTTCAAAACAAGCTGTATGGAGGAGAGACAGGCTTGAGAGCAATAAACTATTGGATTATAAAAGAATGAGTGAGCATAGTGATAGAGACCAAAGGAGCTGTTCTTCTAGACAAGCAGAAGTAGGAACAGCTGATGCTTCTCCACTCCCTCTTTTTTTCAAGCTAACAACTGCACTAAAAATCGGAAAGCTGGAATTCTTTAGAAATCAGGGGTTCTTAACCTTGGCAACTTTAAGACTTGTGGACTTCAATTCCCAGAATTGAGCAAAGCTGGCTGAGGAATTCTGGGAATTGAAGTCCACAAGTCTTAAAGTTGCCAAGGTTGAGAACCCCTGCTTTAGATTATAACTGGAAAAGGAGGGACCCCTCCTGGGGTCAGGGATGTCAAATGACAGACCAGAAGATCATTGTTCATATTCTTTTGTCTTTACCAGAGAAGAACTATGTTCCTTCTCCTTCAATAATGAGAGGAGTTGATTAATGGCTTGGGTCTATTATTCTTGCTATGTTTCCAGATATCATTGATTTATATTTTCTAATCTCCCTAAGGAGTTGATGAGATCTATAATATATTAAATCTCTATGGGTACATAGTTAAATGATAAAATCCCATGCTTATAACAAGCCTAATGATATAATAAAGGAGGTTTTCATAAGTGTCCTTGAGCAGAGCATAATAGCAATTGCAGTTCCCATATTCCACGTCCTGCACACAAGTATATTATCTCCATACCTTGAACCTCCATTTAACCATAGTGTTTAACGACCATTCCTATTCTGTTATGGCAAAATCCAGATAATTAAGTGGTTTTAAACAGTGCATGAATGAGTAAGTGATTGTGAATAAGAAAAATAGCCATGGAATAATATGTATACTTCTGTTGTTTGACTCACTTGGTTGAGCTGTTTTGATTATTCTGTGCAAGCATCAGTTCCTAAAACAAGCATATACTCATATTAATGTTTTTTATCAGTTTTATGCTTGTACATACAAACTAATAGGTACTACATCGCTACTATTGGTTCCCCTTTCTCTGCACTTTTGCATAAAGAGGCGTGAGAAATGGTGGAAAACAGAGTATTGAGGAATGTGAATAGTGAGAGCTTTGTGAAAGCTCCTTAACAAAAACACTTGATATGTCCAACCTTTTGAGGAGGTGGCTTTTCATCTGAATACCACCAACACTATTGTGTTTTCTTCTTCCTCTTCAGCCCCCTCTGAATGCACAGATGTTGGCTCAGCGTCATCGTGAACTTTACAGCCAGCAGCATCGACAGAGGCAACTCATGCAGCAGAGAGCCATGCTGATGAGACAGCAGCAAAGCTTTGGGAGCAATCTTCCTCCCTCAGCTGGGGTTCCGGTGCAGCTGACAGCTGGCCGCCTTCCCCAGGGTCCCCCACAGCAATTCCCTTTCCCCCCCAACTATGGTACGAATCCTGGAAACCCCCCTACATCCACCAGCCCTTTCTCCCAGCTGGCACCAAACCCCGAAGTGGCATTGGCCAATCGTAGCAACATGGTGAACAGGGGGATGATGGGAAGCGTCGGAGGACAGTTTGGCTCTAACATGAACCCACAGATGCAACAGAACATATTCCAGTATTCCGGATCAGGTGTGTCTCAGTCTGTATCTTTTAAGGAAAGTTTGCTCCGTTGTGACTTGCTGAATGTTGGGAAAGGTGATACTTCAGTTAGTTGACACAATTTCAGAATGTGAGGATTCGGACATGTTCAGAGGCTTCTGGGTAAACATAGAGGTGTTTTTC